AATGTACTGTCATGGAGGGCATAAGTCATATGCTTTTCTTAAGTGAAAACTCATGCCAATTATAATCATGCTCATAAACCTAACAAAGGTGTATTATGAAGGTTTGGGATCTTTTACAAAAATGTATTTGTCTTTGTTATTGTATTAAGTTAATTCCACCATATACCAGTTTCAGGATACACTTATCTATTTGATACTATTTTTGCATTTTAACTCTTTGATATTTGAGTAATTCTGTGTAGAAGAAAGACCAGGTTAATGAGATAAGTAACTGATAGATGATGTCTCTTGGCAGATTTCAGAGTTAGAACACAGATTAGAAGCATAATTTTCTCGTGGGAAGTACCTAAACTTTGTTTTAAGGGACTTACTCCTTTTAAAGTAGTAATGTGTTACTTAATTTAATTTTACAATAATTGTGTAATAGCCATCTCCAGTTTGAAGCAGAGAAAAATAAAAACTTTTGACATTAAGCCCAACATGATTACTAGTTTATTGGTGACTTGAAGAAAGTTTTATTTCAGTGTTTTCCATAAAACATGCAATCTCTATGCAAACTTTAGTTATTTATTATTTTCTTTTTTAAATTTTATTTTATTATGTTATGTTAATCACCATACAGTACAAAAAAACATTAGTTTTTTTCTCTTTAAAAAATTTTTTTTATTGTTATGTTAATCACCATACATAACATCATTAGTTTTTGATGTAGTGATCCATGATTCATTGTTTTCGTATAACACCCAGTTCTCCATGCAGTACGTGTCCTAACTTTATATACATGTGTTTATTATAAGGGTAACTATACAGTTTATACAATTGCTTTTTAGTCACAAAAATTTTATCAAAAAAGTAATGCAAATAGCATGTGTCAGTCTAGGACAATAGGTGCATGTGTACCTATGTGGTGCATGTACTTTTTAAAAAATTTTTAAAAAAATTTTATTATGTTATGTTAATCACCATAGGTGGTGCATGTACTTTTAAGTATTTATGGAGTGTAAGAGCATAATAGTAGCTCTATATAGTAACAGTCATTGTGTGCTTTTTAACCTTTCTAAGATTTCATTTCTGTAGAAATGAGTTCTGTGAAATTATTATGGCCAAAATACCAGAGTTTGTCTTTCACTCAATTTATCTACACTTCATAAAAATGCTTAAATATTACTTCATCATCCTTAAATTTGCCTTTCAGTATGTGAAATCTATGAACTAATTCTTGAATATTTATGAAGTAATTCTGATTTTTGCAGGTGTTGCAAGCCCTTAGGAATATTTAGCTTAATTTGGAACAGGATTCTCTATTTTTTACTTGATTTTTCATTTTTAAAAACCAAGTTACTGTAAATCCATCTACATATAATATTTTTGTATCTTTCTCTAGTAGTTTGGTTAGACATAAGAATAAGAATAAGGTTAGACATAAGAATCCTCAGAGTTTATGATATCCTGATTGAAGTGCTAAGAGAATTGTTGTGTAAGTAATGTATATCATTGTGTATACGTTATGTATCCCCTCAGTTAACATTCTGTTTTACAGAATGCTTGGGATTAGCAGTCACAGTTAATAAAGAACTAATGAAGAATACCCTTTCTTGAATTTATTGTTGTTAAGGAAAGTATTTTATAGTTTCTGTTTATTTGTATGAGAGTTGTCTGTTTCTGAAAGAACCATACTTTAAGATACTTTACAGTATGTTCATTGTGGTATGATTATGGTGATATGCCACCAATTGATAGTTGAACCAGACAGAACTTAAATCTTTTATGCTAACATAATGTTAGTCTTAGGTGGTTTAAGTTTCTCCTTCAGCAGATTTGTGCCCATAAAATTATTTGTCTTAAAATGAATAGAGCAGATGGGTTTGGCTGATAATGAAAACCATAGGATGCTATCTTACCTTGTTTCTTAAGGTAGGGTCTGGGGATCGGCAACATCAGCATTGCTAGAGAGGTTGGTAAATGGAGAGTCTTGACCAATGCCAGAGTACTTAATCAAATCTGCATTTAACAGATTCTCAGATGATTTGTGTATACATTAAAGTTTGAGAAGGCCTCCTGTAGAAGACATAAGACTTGGCATCTGGACAAGGAACAGACACTTCTGTATTGAGCTTGCAAGGGTATAAAGATTTAGGAATTATTTCTTAGAATAATGAAACAAATGTTCCCCCTTTAAAGTACATTTCTCTTTAGGATTATCCTTTTTTTTTTTTTTCTGGAATAAAATGTGTCTAATGCAGTTCTTTACTTTCATACTTTCATCTTACCTACTGAAGAAGATAAACTTTACTTCTTCCATACCAAATGAGCAAACTTAGTTATTGTTAAGTCTTCCCTAAGGTAGTGGCATCCTCTGGATTTGCATGAAACTGAATCTTGAGAAAGGAGATGGAAAACTGAGGCCCTGATGTTAGAATGGCCTTGCATGTATCATCACTTATTTTTCTTGTTTTTGTGATGCCAGGGATTCAGACGTACTTTATTTCCCCCTAACTGAAGACTAAGTATGCCCACATGTCTGCTGTGTGCAAAATCAAACAGTGGATCAGACCTTTCCTCAGAGAGTTTACAGTCAGGTTAGGGAACTGTCCTTGAAAGTCAGGCAGTCTGCCACCTGCAGAGCTGTGGTATTCTGGGATATGGCCTAGACTTCCCCTGGCTGTGTTTAAAAGGGAAATAAAGCACTTATTTCAGGCAGCTACATGTTTTCTATTAAAATAAGTAATGTCCTAGTGTATCAGTATATTTAAGGGGAGTTAGAATCTAAAGCAAAAACCAAAGAAATGTAAATGTCTAGATGTACCTTCTCCTAACAGACTTCATGTAATATTTGTTGAGGCATACTCTACCTCTGGATTTTTCAATTTGCTTGAAGTAAAGATCTTTTCCTTGCATCGTGTCTCCACTATTTCAGAACTCCCTTCGATGTTGCTCAACTTCTAAGGTGGCCCTAGGAACTCACTGACTTTTCTGGGGATTTCCTGAGTGTGTCATTTAAAAAACTTTTTAGCCAGGGATCCCTCAGTACAAATGAAGTCTTGCTCAGTAGTATGGGCAATAAACTACACAGGAGGAGGAGTGGGTCTTGTTGAGTCTGGGGTTGTGCCTGGCTCTTTTATGCATTCTTGGGGGTGGGGGTGAGGGTGAGAATCTTGGGTTCTGGGGCACAGTTTAAAAACCAGTACTCAACACCCAAAAAACAAATAATCAAGTCAAAAAATGGGCAGAAGACAAAAACAGACACTTCTCCAAAGAAGACATACAAATGGCTAACAGACACATGAAAAAATGTTCATCATCATTAGCCATCAGGGAAATTCAAATCAAAACCACATT